ACTAAATATCTGGAGGATAGATGACAAGCTTGAACACATTGTCCTTGATATCTCCTTTTTGTTTCTCCTGCTGAATAAACCTGGCAGATGCTGCAGCAGCGGGAGTGGGCCAAAAGAGCTCCATATTCTGGAGGGAAGGCACCTCCACTAAACCAAACGGGATTTCATTTAGGCTTGAGCAGTGTTTAAGGAAAACTTGTTGCAGTCTAGGGAAGTGATGGCCTGAAGCATTCCAGTGTTCCAAATTTGTCCTTCCAATATGCAAGACCCGAAGCAGACGGAAGCCTCCATCAAGCGGTTCCCACTGCGTTCCCTTAAAAGCATAGTCTTTTAGTTTCAGCACTTCAAGATTTGGCAGCATACCTAGTGTAGATATATGGCTCCAATCAAGGAAGGTGTCTGATAAAGTCAGCTTCTTCAGGTTTGGCGGGAACTTGTATGATTGGGGAAGACCGGATATTTGACATTGGGATGGGGGGAGGGGAAATGTGTCATTAAGCAGCTTCAGAGTCTCCAGGTTGTCCAATTTGGCAAGATTATCGAACAAGCTTGAGTCTCCATTTGTAGCCACAAGTGTAGCTACCTTCCCACGAATTCCTAACTTCCTTAGACCAGGAGTTCGTGCCAATATATTTTCTTTACAACAATCAGGCAAAACGGTGGAAATGGTCTGGATGTTTCTTCTTACAAATGGATCCTCATTATCCTTCCGCGTTTTGGCTGGAGGACCACGTAAACAGCTCAACCCACTGGTGTACAAGTGTTTGAATTGGGACATTTTCCATATATCCACTTGAATGTCAAGCTCACGTGACTTTGTTCTGACAATTAGTGTCTCGAGGTTCCAAAGTTTGGAGATTGATGCAGGAAGCACCCTGAAATTTCCTGAAAGAGCTATATACCTCAAGTGAACTAGCTGCACTATCTCATTTGGGAACCTTGGAAAATTGATATACTTCAAGTCCAACACCCGTACCAATCTAAATGCTTCATGGAGGAAAGATGTATGTTCACGAAGCAATTCCATTTCTTCCGAGGCAAAACACAAGAAAGAACGGACATTTGGACCAAAAGGCCTTGAAGTTATGAAGTCCAGAAAATGTGAATGCACGCAAAGACGACGATGATATTTGGAAATCGAGCTCAAAGAATGATTCTGAGCAGATTCTTTGAACACCTCCAGGAATTTCTCCTCTGAACCCATTTTTACACTCAAATCTCGCAACATATCATGAACGCGACAACTCTTAATTCGCCCATTGGCCCTCTTCTTCGCGACTAAAACTAGATTTCTGTCAACAAGATCCTCAAGATATTCTTCTGCTGTATCCTCCAAGCATTCTTGCCCCATTTGCTGTATGAATCCTTCACTAGTCCACAATCTGAGTAATTTCCACACAGGAATTTCAAAGTCTTCTGGAAAGACTCCGAAATAGATGAAGCACACTTTCAAGTGATCAGGTAAATGCTTATAACTCAGTGCTAGAACATCCATACATTGCTTTGGATCCCTAGCAACATACGAACTAACATCATTAGCAACTTTCTTCCACCAGTCACGTGTTTTTTCTTTCTTTAAGAGAAGACCTGAGACTACAACAATTGCAAGCGGTAGCCCATAGCATTTTTTGGCAATTTGTAGTCCAATATCTTCTAGCTCTAAGGGGCAGCTTCCTTTGCGGAAAACCTTCTTTGAGAGGAGCTCCCAACTTTCTTCATGAGTCAGAAAGCGTAAATGGTGAGGGAGACCTTCAGGGTTAGCATGCAATGCGACCTCTGTGTTTCGAGTTGTTAATAATATTCTGCTCCCACTAGCTGTCTTTGGGAAAGCCATTTGGAGGTCATCCCAAGCCTCCATTGTCCAAACATCATCAATGACAACAAGGTATCTCTTGCTTCTCAAATGACTAAACAGTTCTCCGGCCAATTTTTCATCATTCATTTTATACATTTCATCTGTGATGAGACCTAAAGAATCTAAAATTCCAAGAAAGACCTCCTTTCGACTATACAGCTGAGACACATAAATCCATGCACGGTTATAGAAGTGGAATTCAACGGAAGGATCAGTATAAACCTTTTTAGCTAAAGTTGTCTTTCCCAGGCCACCCATCCCGACAATTGAGATGATCTCTAACTCCTCTGACCCATTGGTAAGTCGACTACTTATTTTCATAGCCTCGTCATCAAAGCCTACCACATTTTCTTCTTCCACCATCGGAACTCTCTTTTGTGGTGGACTTCTACGAGAGGACTCTCCACCATGTAGGCTTTGAATCCCAAACATCTTCTTGTCATAAATCTCCTTCACCTTCACCTTGATTGATTCAATTTCCTTTGCAACATTTCGAAGCTTTGATGAGTGATCAAATACGTGCAAGGCTCTCCCGACAGGGCTCCTAGCCTTTTGCATCGCTGCATTAGTCACGAACGTGTCGATTATATCCTCTGCCTCATAAGCCACAATGGTGATTTGGCTTACCAACTCTCTGACATATTCATACTCACTCCGCTTCTCCCGAGAGTCCTTAAGAAAAGCTTTCATCAAACTAAGCTCTCTGTGAAGAGACTCAACTTGATCCTTTACTCCTGAAAGCAACTCCACATGATAAAGGAGTAGTTGTTTCAAATTCAACAAGAGAAATTCGACGGCAGCATCAGCCATCTCTTGCTTAAGTGCTTACTCTTCCTGAAGAAATCTGAAAGTGCAAGATGGTGAGAATTAATTTTCGAGCACCATTTAAACAGGTGTACTCTCTTTGTAGGAACACAAATATATAGTAGTAGATTTGGCAACTGCATATAGATACGACAACAACAACAAACCCAGTAGTATAATCCCACAGGTAGGGTCTGGGGAGGTATTGTATACATAGACCTTACTCCTACCTTGTGATGGTAGGGAGGTTGTTTCAATAGACCCTCGGCTCAAGGAGAGACGAAAAAGATGCAGTAACAACAGCAAGATAGTAAGATACACATGCATATGGATACGGTGTGTATAAAACGATTTATGAAATTCGTTCGTGATAAATTTCAATTGTTCAGTGCTGCAATAGTTGGCAATTACTACATTACTTAATTCCATGGACCAATATGATGCTCTCGAACAACAATTGTTTCTCCTCTATACAAGCCTCAAAACTCGAAGAAAATTTTGGCTATTATAATTCGAAAATTTTCCTCTGAAATCTAACTTCCCATACCAATAGTCCAATTACAACAACAACAACATATCCAGTGAAATTCCATAAGTTGGGTTTGGAGAGAGTAGAGAGTACGCAGACCTTATCATTTACCCATACCTCGTGGAGGTAGATTGGTTGTTTACAATGTACCCTCAGCACAAGTGCATCAAATCAAAGTAACTATGAAAAGGAAAAACGGAGTGAAAAAAAACATGACAACACTTCCTATACCAAAACAACACTTATTTCTCCTACATACAAGCCTCAAAAGTCTAAGAAAATTTAGGTTCTTAATAATTTGAAATATTTCCCTGAAAATCTTAAGGGGGCCTTTAACCATGAATATTTTTTTTTAACTTTTTCCCAAAGTTGAACTCCGAAAAACATGTTTGGTCAACACCAAAAAGCTGTATTCACTTTTTTCACTAAAAATTAGTCAAAAAAAATCAAAAACAACTCCAATTTGTATTTATAGCCAAATTCAACTCCAATTTTCAAATATCATTTTCACTCGGAAAACAAAAACTATTTTTTTTCAAATACTCACAGTTTTCATGGCTAATCGCCTCTAAATTTGGGGAAAAGGTCCAAATTTGCCTCAAATTGCTCAATTTTATCGTTCATTATACCTCTGAAGCTCAGACTATTTTTTTTTAATCCCAAAAATTGCAAATAAAAATATGCTAAAAGACTATAAAATGATAGTAAAATATGCTGAGAAAATAATAAATTAAAAAGAATGGAAGAATCAGAAGACTTACCAGTTGTTTGGTATTAGAAATAAGTTTTTTTTTTTTTCTCAAAATCAACTTTTATGAGAAAAAAATTGAAGCTCAAAATATAGGAAAGTAAGAATTTTAATGAATTATATTTTTAGATTTTTTCAAATGTTTTTTCCCAGAAATGCAAGGAAAGACTTTGGGTTCTTTTAAGTCAACTTTAGGGGTCGTTTGGTACGACAAGAGTAGATTTTGCGATAAAGTTATATCAGGATTAATAATTAATATTGAGGCATCAAAATATGTTTTCAATTCATTTTTATTGATTCACTATTTTTAAAATAGTTTTTTATTTTTATTTATTACTTTTAACGGATCAAGAAAAGACAAGTACTTTTTTAAACCTATATAATGCATGTTATTTATAATACAACAAATCAAACTGTAAATAAAAAATAACATCAAGATAACTAACCTCAACATAATTTAATCTCAAATCAAACGATGCCTTGCTGTTTTACATGAATAGTTCTGCTGATTATTTTTAGCTAATCAATTGTGTGAACGATTATTTCAATTAGTTTTTTTTCAAAAATAAAATAAAAATTATAGTATGTTATTGTAGATTTAACTAATTTGATAGTTGACCTCGAAAGAATCCAAAGTCTACTCTACCCTTTTTCCTATCTGGTACACGATACTTAGATTAAAGCAAAATTAATTTAAATTTGCGTTGCATTAAAGCCCATTCAAGTGAAACACTTCCTATTAATAATTTTTTTTTTATATTCAAAGCTTAAATCGAGACCTCTAATTAATAAAAAAAACAACCTTATTCATTGTAATTTGTACCACACATACTCCTTTCTTTGCAAATTGAAGCCTCTAGTCAAAGTATTTTAGTTTGATTGAATACAAATTTTAAGAAATAACAAAAAAAATAAAATTGAATCGTGTAATCTTAAACTTATCCGGTAGAATATTGTAATTGAAAAACTTAACAAAGGTAGAAAGAGATACTAAAAAAGAGAAGTAAGACACTTAAATTGCGATGAAGGGAGCATCACTTTGAAGCTGAAGCTGAAGCTGGACCTGCAAAGCAACCAGGAATGTGTACACAATCTTGTATAAGCTTACAAGGTGATCTCTATCCATAAACCACTGAGGATCTCTATACACTATATTACTAATAACATGGATCGTTTGAAATTATGCAAAAGTCAAACTCAACAACAACAACATATTCAGTATAATCTCAAAAGTGGAGTCTGATCCGTAGAAAAGCTGTTTCCAAATTCCGATAGACTCTCAACTCAAAAGTTAGACTTGGACAAACAAAACTAATCTACACAACCACAACGATCATCTTTGTCATTATCACTCGATATATCTACCACCACCAGATCCATATTTCGTTCCGAAGAAAATGAGCTGCAGTTTATCATACCCGGCTAGAACACCGGCACCAGCAACAGCACGAAGGATATTAGCTCCAGCGCCTTTGAAGAGCGACTTGGTTCCTTCTTTCTTCATTATCTGAGAAAATGCATCTAATGAACCCTTGTACTTGACTGCTTCTCCTGAAGTCATCATCATTCTTCTACGCACCGTATCAATCGGGTAAGACGTTAAACCAGCACCGATAGTAATGCCCCATCCGAGCAAAAAACTTGCAAAGAAACTATCCTGTGAACACCAAAAATAGCAATGGCGTTAACATGCATAAGGACTAATCACACATATGAATCTAAAAGAAATGTACGGCATGTCGCTTTGGACTCTTCAAATACAATGTTGCACTCATGTCGAATTTGTAAAGATATGGCACCTGAGCCTTACTCGATCCCAAAAGGTGGCTCATAAGGAGAGAATTGTCCAATTCTATATAAGCAGATTACTGGTTCATTCCCCAACCAATGTGAGACTTTAAGGCATTCTACCACCCTGCTTCACATCAACTGGAGCGTGGATTGAGAGCCCAAACGGAAATAGACCTGGCTTTGACATCATGTTAAGATATGCATGACGCTTGGACCTGACTCAATCCCAAAAACTATCTCATTAAGGGAGGATTGCACACGTCCATTTCCCCATCAATATGGGACTCTACCAAAAATGTATTATTTTTGAAGAATCTAACATGCACCCATTGACATTTTTAAAAAGTAAGAGCAACATAGCTGAAAGTGCATCGGAGTCCATATTAGGACTTCATGAAATAAACAGAGTTCAGATTCTCCATACCTGCAAGTTACCAACCAGAACCACAGGTTTAAGCGAATCGTATACTCCAAAGTACAAACCACGGTAAACAACTATTCCCACACACGAGATGGTGAAGCCCCGGTAGAGACCAGGAATACCATCAGATTTGATAGTTTTCCGGTAAACATCGAGCAAACTATTAAACTGCCTCTCACCACCCTTTTTCGCAGCCTTAGCATCATTAGTGAGCCGCGTTCTGGCATAGTCCAGCGAGTACACGAACAAAAGGGTTGAAGCACCAGCAGCACCACCGGATGCTAAATTTCCTCCAAACCACTTCCAGTAGCCATCCCTTTCTTTATTGAAATTAAACATTCTCTTAAAGTGGTCTCTAAAAGCAAAATTCAAAGCCTGCAAAAAACAAATAGGCAGTGTTAACAGTAAGGAAACAAAAATGCACTACTTCTAGAGGATCCAAAAATCACCCATGCAATTTTGAAGACTCCGAGCAACATAGACTATACAAACACTAACATACGCGATGTAATCCCACAAGTGGAGTCAGGCGAGGAAAGAGTGAAAGACCCTCGATTCAAGTCCAGCAAATCAAAATACTTTTGAAAAAATAAAATAAAATACGACACTGTAGAAAACATGTTAATTAATAAGTAAAGCAGTACAGATCATTCAGAAAGAAAAAAACAGAAACAATAGCGAAGTAATGTGGTAACTGAAATACAATAGACAACAAATGGTAACAAATATCAAAAGCAAGAAACTACATGTGTGGAAGGCTAATACTATGACAGACACTGCTAACAGACTCCCAAAAAGCCTAATCCTGCTGAAACGCAAGACAAAGCTCAGCTACCTACTAACCTTCTACCTTAATCCGTGACCTCCATCCCCTCCTTTCCCAAGCAACAGACTATACGGATCAATCAACAGAAAGCAAAGGTCAGTTAAACCTGTGTTGGGAAATATCTGATGACATTTGCAGAATTGCCTCTCCATAGAGAAAGGACACCTTCATCCTTGATAGTTCTTGTAAAGCAATCGGTAATCCCTTTGTACGGTTCTGAGAGTCTACCGGATTTGATCATCTCATCCTGATTCTGAATCAAAAGCTTGACTCTCTCAATCGGAGCAGCAGCCGTCTTAGACACAGCAGCAGAAACTCCTCCCATGAAAAAATCCACCATAAAACTAGTCATTTTCTTCTCTAACGGAGCTTCAGATGGAGACTGTACAAGAACAGGACCACGCGATTGCTCACTAGCTTGACGAGTCGCCACAAAATGACCCTTGATAATCTCATTGACATATCCATCCGCCATGTTTTAAGATTGATCGATGCAGTGACCTATAAATTAAAGAAAATGAACAAATATTACAGCGTCTCCCAAAACTTCCAATGAACCAAAACGATGTTAGTTCCCGTTCAAGTAGTAATAAACAAAGTTGCTATGAACGTCTTACTACGACTATGTTTTACTCGAGTTTAAGTTCTATGCACAAACGGTCATATACAATACAGATAACTCAAACATGTTATTTGTTTGTCGTTTTCGATCAACACTAGACAATTTTCATTCATTTCAAGCATGGAAAAGTTCCCCACCACTCTCGAAGTCATAATTCTCCATCATATATAAGTCAAAGTCAAACAAACGATGATTATATAAACTAAATGCTTCTAATATAAACTAATTACTCAATAACATATAGTCATATACAATACAAATTACTCAAACATGTTTGTCGTTTCAAGTCAACACTGAACAATTTTCATTCATTTCAAGCATGAAAAATTTCCCCACCAAAGTCAGAGTCATAAGTGTCCATTGCATATATATAAAAGTCAAAATCGAACGAACGATGATTACTTACTTATATCGTATCGCACAATACTAAAAATCTTTCAATTACTTTACCATAATTAGTTTTAGCTTACTGATTTCTGAATAAATTATTTATGCGGCGCACAATTACAATTACTTTACCATAATTACTTTTAGCTTATTATGCACACAAATATAGAATACAAAAGTTATTGAATTCTGCGGAACTCGAACTCAAAATTACCTGGACCATAGTTTATACACAAAAAATTACACACAGTAAAAGGTGTTTGTGTGTGTAGAGATACTAACCGGAGAAACTTCCTTCTTGTCTATGTGAAGAATAGAGAAGAACATTTTTGAGAAGAGATCAGTAGAAAAAATGTTGGGAAAATAAAGGAAAGGAAGAGTTTTCCAGATGGTGCTACGTGGAATATTTTTTTTAATTGACAAATTTGACCTAATACCCTATATTTAGTATACACTGTTGAGTGAGCCAAAAAAGTTTTTAAGTTGAAATAACAAAAAATAAGTAAAAAGTAGTTAACGTACCTTGTAAAGAAATTTTATTATTATTTCATCCAAAAAATATCACAGATTTCTTCATAAATTGTGAGATTTATAACTTTAAATATAACAACAAATTGACTAGTATGGATTGTATTGAAGGCAAAGTAACTTAACTGAATACTCATGAATGACTGAATATATATACTTGAAAGAATATTGGAGATACAATATCTAAGCTCCAATTTACACAAGTTTACAGACATTATAAATACAACAATGAGATAAATTTGGAGCATAAAACAAAGCTTCTAATTTGGGAGTAACCAAAAAGCAAAGCAGTACCCTCTCCTCACATTCTGGAATTCAAGGCTTCTTGAACAACTAGTTAGCTCTCCAATTTTTGAAATAGTTAGCTCTCTGATTTTTGAATTGATCATTGTACTATATCACCTCATTTGGTAGGCAGCACTAGAAGCTGGCGCGTACGGGCAGGCCATTGCCCTCCTTTCTTTTCTTTTAACAATCTGTAGCTTTGGTGATCTTGGTTTCGTCACTTGTTTGGAAGACCTGTGATGCGCAGAAGCTTTAGAATATGCAGAGAAATAGGAATGGAGAAAAAATAAGAAGAGAGACTCGCGAACTTGCTGTACATACTTCTGAGGTAGAAAAGGATGATCAAATTTAGGCACTGGTCTTGCATGGGGCACCAAAGTTCTCCTCAGTTGTTTCAATGCTTTCTCTTCCTCCATCTAATCCATAAATGAAAGTAACACGAAATTCAGAGAAGGAAAATCCGGGGCTTTACACACATCAGCATAACGTAAGTCATTAAGCATAGCATCCGTCATGTAAGTGCCATAACTAGGATGCCATGCTCTCATATCATATCAAGAGGTTAAAGTCTCACTTATGTCATAAATGAAATAAGAATTAATCCGATATCATCACAAGATTAAATCAAATAACATAAAATCAGGATGTGCATTACCATTCTTGCAGATTCTGTCTCTTCTCTATACCTCTTATGCATCACCTCTTTCTGCTTAATCTGCAGAACAAACTTATGACCTGAGCATTGGATGACTAGGAGAGAAAGCAAGTCTAACTAAATACATGAGATTCTAGATGGGAACGAAATTACCTTCTTATCGAACTCAGCTCTATCAAGAGAACGGTGATCTACATTCAGTTTAAAGTCCTGAACTTCAGTGAGGGGTTTACGTACTTTCTCAGGAACTGGAATAGGGTCCCTGCATTAATGTTCAAAAAATTATAAGCCATCTTTGGATACTGAAAATATGACACTGTATGGAAAAGCTTGTTCTTTTATATCTTACTCGGCCAAGATTGGTTGAGCCTTAAAGTTCCTCATCTTTGCTTCTTCCTCCTCTATTCTTCGCCTTTCTTCCATTTGCCTCCACGTCTCCTGCTCATGCTTAACAAGACTCTCCAATTGGAAAGGTTCTGGTCTTGTGCACCGCTTTGGTTCTGGTTTTGGTGGAATCTGGCATGACAAAACAAGGTAATGACGAACGTAAGAATGTGTTTGTGGACAAGATCCACGTGTTAGAGTAGAGGTAAGAAAAGATTGGTTAAGTACCACTGGATAATCAGTGGTGTATGGATATGGAGTTGCTTTGCGCATTCTGGACCTCTCCTCCTCGATTTGTTTATGTAGAAGTTCGGTGAACAATTTCCTCTCTTTCTCCGCACCTCGTTCCTGAACGCAATGGAAAGCCAAGGCCATGAGGAACTGTTTAAAGCTAAAAAGGAAAAAACCAAGAACAAAACTACATACCTCAGTGGAGAGATGGAAGGGATTTGGAGTGGTGTTTCTAGGAATAGTCTTGACATTTTGAGGTTCAGAATTAAGGGAAAGCTGAAAACATAGAGAAAGATATGATGAGAAGAAAATGAGGGAAGGACGGTAAAATGATAGTAAGAAACATGACAATGTTAGACCTTGTCAAACAACATATCAGCTACATTAGCTGGAGGTGGAATTCGTTCATCGGTGGCAAAATGAAATTCTTGAGGCAGTGTCACCTGCCTCTTTGTGTTGCAGAACATCCCCAAATCTCCTTTACTTTCAAAAATCTACAATTTGAGGAGGAAGTCAGCAACAAGGGAAAAGCTAGAGACCAAGAATTTTCCTGTATAGTGATCACCATATTCTAGAAAGGTCGGTAGGTGGCTATCGTTACCTTCTTATTCAAAGGCCTTGCCTTAAATTTGGGAACTTTTTCGAGTTCTTCCTTTTCCATTTCTTTGGAGCTTCTAATCCTTGGAGGTCGTGCCCTTAGTGATGTTTTAAGAACAGGTGACTTTGGGGCTGTAAGATGCGACGATTTCCACTGATGACTCTGCGATGAATGAATTGCTATATTCAGTAATTAAAGCAAATAAATTTGTTTTTATCGAGTGATTAGTGATTACAGGAAGCACTCCCTGTACCTGAGTAGATTCTATCGATGCAACTGTTGATGTTTCCGCATTTTGATTTGCTCGTGCCATAGTTTGCAAATGAAATTCCTGCAGAAGTAAGATACAAAATTTAGATCGAACTTACACTGAAAATTATGACTTTGGCAATCTATACGATACCTTAAATTCTGGAAGTTGAGGTATACTCTTCGGTAAAGCTGGTAGAGTTGGAACTTCCAATAGCTGTTGCAAAATATTCAAGATAAAATTGGAAGATTAGATCAAAAGACGCAATTAAAAATCGCGAAAAGAGGGAACAAATGTCTAACATGAGGTACCTTTTTGTTTAACGGGCGAGCCTTAAACTTTGGAATTTTGGCCATCATTTCTTCCTCTTGCTCAGCTGAACTCTTGACTCTTGTTGGACGAACACGTTGAGCTGTTACAAATTCAGGTTCTTTAGGCCTGGTCAATATGAGCTTATGCTTCCTCTGCATCTGTCCAGCTGGATCATCCTGGAAAATGAAAATACTTTAGAAGAAATGTAACAGGAAAGCTAGTTAATATTCAAGTAAAGCTCCAGTGACTTACATGTGAAGTGGAACTGCTCATGCGAGGCAGTGACATCTCCCTGGTGCCAGATTGGAACTTCTTCATCATTTCTGCTATTGAAACGAATGGGGCAACTGGTTCCCGAACATACATCTTAAGGGGAGAAACAATGTTAAGTTAGATTCACAACATCCAAATTTGCATAGATTCCGAAATGCAAGAAAAGGAAAATGTTGTCATGTAAACCTTTCTGTCCTGTTTATGAACTTCTGCAGTCGAAGCGAATAAGGTGGAACTGCTGCTAGCAACCCCAACTTTTGTTTTGTGAGGCAGATTCTGGGGCTTGACATTGAGAATCTACCATGTTCGGAGGAAAGAAGAAGCATGGTCAGCTAAAAAGTGAAATATTATGCATGTCGCGAATAAGATCTGAAAGATAAAATTCACCTGTCTGGATTTTCCGCCTTCTAGTTTCTGTCTTTTTATAGCTTGGTTTTCTTGGGAAAGATTATGTGCTCCAACAGCACTTTTCGCGATTGTTTGCCTACGCATTAAAAGCAATTCGTTATTTCTATCAGAGCAAACATTTTTGGAATGACCGAACAAAAAAAATCAGCGCTAAGAAGCTAAAACCATTAACTTACTTTCTGACACTAGCTGGATTACTACTCTTCTTCAATTGTGACTGTTGCAGGTGAGCTTTTGACTTTAATGCTGAAGGGTTTCTAATAATGCTGGCAATCTTTTTAGCCGTCTGTCGCTTCTTGGAATCAGTTTTCTCGTCACTCTTCTGAGTTATCATCGGTGGTGCAGGGGTGCTAACTTCTGTCACAAAAAAAAGGCATTATTAGATGCATATTATCAGCTGAAGGGGGGGGGGGGGGGGGGGAAGGGGAGAGAAAGGG